GCTGCAGCAGTATTGCAAGTAACACGCACGCCTTCTGACTTGTCACTGGAAGAACCAATGCTACTGGAGCTCTTCCTTTGCCCGGCATCCCAGAACAAAATAAACACCACAAAATGACAACAAAAAACCTCCAGACCAGGAGATTTCCTGTTACAGCACTTCAAATAGACCTCAAAGAGAGGAAGGAAAGGCAGACTGTCAGTTAAATCATGAGGAGACGTCTGTAATGTAAATCACAAGTCAGTCAATATGCAATATCTCTTTTCTAAAGCCTAAAAGGTCAGATGGATAGGGAAATGACTGATAGAAGTTTATACTTTTATTTATATTTTGTGGGAAAGCTAATGTCTGACCTTACTGCCCTATCTTGCCTATTTCTATGTCACAGAACACTGACTGAAAAGTTAAATAAAGACCCTATTACACCCTAATTTATGACACACAAAACGAGAACACTGCCAAACCATCTTATCACTTCTGATCACGACATTGTAGGAAATGGTTTTTGCAAGGTTTAGTTATCACGAGCTTGGTGGGTGGCCTGAGCCATTATGGACCCTCTCTTCCTGAATGATTCAGTATTCATGCGGATCAAAAAATGTAAGTAGTGGAAAAGATGTGCAGACAACACTGTGAGGACACAGCAAGAACTGGAACTGCCTGTGGGCACTGCATTCCATAGCAAACAAAACCCAATATTATCTGTTAGCTAATCACATGCAATATAGAAGACTTCAGAATCAGACCACAACTGAAGACAGAAAGGAGAAACACGGCTTAGTATTTCACAAGGAAAACCATTAACCAAAAGATGAGCACACCACAGAACTTTCTTCTGTTTTGCAGATTTTGTGGCATGTATTTTTAATCTTCCAGTCTCTGGGAAGGTTCAGGGAAGGTCCATTTATAATTCAAAGACCTCTACTCCTGCTGTCAAGCAAGACAGCATGTAGCTATTTGATCATTCCCCTTTCTCACTTTCTTTCTTTTTTTGTCCATGTCACACAAAGTGTGCCCCAACCACAGCGCACAATCACAAGGCAAACACTGTTTTAGCTATCGAAAGGGCTTTTTAACAACGATCAGGCCCAGGACATTTACTGCGAGACAGATCAAAACTGACCTCTGCTTTTAAGATTTGCCAGAAGGCTATATTTGGGGTGCTAAAAGACGTCACAGACTGTCAAAAGAAATATTTCAACTTGCGACATTTTGTTCTTTCCCACGTCTGTTTATCAGAAGTGTCTGGCCTACACGGGGCCTTTAGTTTTTATCTTGGGTAAACTCATTACCATACACACCTTCACTCTGTGAAAATGAGCAGAAATGCTAGAATGTCTTTCTTGTGCTTTGGATATGTGTAATGCTAAATAACATAAACAGAAAGAACAACAGGCACTGAGACTGACACACTGGTCTTGCCAGCCATCCTTACTCAACACCATTGCAAAGTGATGCTGTATAAACTTGACAGGAAGAGTGAAAAATGCAGCCCTACTTAACTTTGCTCTGGGAGATGGCCAGTGCGAGGTGATAACAAGGGTACGTTGTATTTCATTAAAGTTCTGCCACAGCACTGCACAATTACAAGTGTCTGGGGGGGCTGCAGAAGTTCCTGTGTTTACTCAGAGAGCCCTGACTGACGTTTCCCACACTGTCCCTCCCGCTTGTGAAATGACACAGGCTTAAACCCCTGACGTGTGGAACAGAGAACTTACCACACACTCTGGAGAGCACCTTTACTGGTGGAGCAAATCGGGAGGGTAGGGTGTTAGGGGGGCAATTTTCTCAGTTTGATATCACTGTAGTGACCTGCGGTAAGTCCGTTCAGAAATGGATTTGCTGAAACCGTTTATTTCAGTCAAAAAGGCAAAAGCCGAGGCCAACCAGGAGAACAGAGCATCAAAACGGAGAATATTTCATATGGAAGGAATGGAATATCAGGACAAGGATTAAAATAGTTCATTTAAAAAAGAATGATCATTTATTTAGTGTTATCAACCCAGCCGATTTGTAAACACAATGTGTTCCATGTGCACACAACCTATGAACCCTGCATCCGCACACAGGGGACAATCAGGAAGTGCAGGTAGACTTCTCCGACTTGCCCACTTTTCAACCCCTCGTCTCTGGACACCTCACAAACTACACGGCCCAACGCAGTTTGTCCGTCGCTGATTGGAAGAGAAGCGCACCCCTCACCGAAGACAGTACAGCCTGTAAGCGCCCAGGAGGTTGCAGGGGTCTCTGTGTCGACAGGAGCCAAGACAACCCTGCTGACTAATCCCAGCTCTCCCCTCGGTAGATAAGCGCCCAGTGAGTCAGCTGGTGAAATGGCCCAGGCTTGGTCATGTGAGGCCGAGTCACTCATGAGCTCCCTGTACAGCTTTTAATGCATTGTTCTGATATGTACCTCTGTAATTCATTCAATGGCTAACTGTCAACAAGCAGATACTCAGTATCTTTTATTAAGCACCATTTAGGCAATTTTTATTAATAATTTTTGGCATTATTTTTGTTGTAGAACATCCAGGTGCATTGCCTTCATAGCACATTGTGGATTTACAATAACGTCCTACAGCAAAACACTCGCAGGGGACTGGTATAGAGGCCTGTGAAATATTAATTCTGTGATGAACAAATCACGTTGTGATTGAAGCTGGTCTTTCTTCTCCAGGTAAAAGAGTGTGGCTGCCCAAGTCCTTCAGTGCACAGACAGGTTTGCCTGCGGCCACTTCTACTGGGCTCTTCGATGTCTGTCTTCCTAGCCACTTCCATTCACCACTCTCAGAACTACTATCAAGTACTCTCACTTAATATCCATCTACTTTTCTATGTACAATTCGCCCAGTTCATGTATAATGTGTCTGTAATTATGTGAAGTTTTGACAAAGCGTTGTTCCGGAAACAGTGCATTCACTTTACATACGAGGCTGTGTGTATTGAGCTAATCAGCCATCTTTACCAGATCACGACAGGCAAGGTCTCCAGCAAAGAATCTGTGATTATTTTTGTCACCACTTAACCTGCAAACCTTAACATTAACCTATCCATTCTCATGAAATAAATTCTCGTTTCGTGTGGCAATAAATGGTATTGGGAAAACAATCACTGTGTTTTCTGTGTAGATCTGAGTAGCTCATTTACCTGTTGAGTATATATTTTTAAAAAAAAGTCTATTTATTAAAATTTTAAAACATAAAAATACTTTTTTTTTAACAATTCCACCACAGGATACACTATTTTGATCTTGAGTATAAATTCATAAATAAAACATTTTTAAGTATTGCAATTAAGATTAGATGGTTATTATTAATATAGAATTGCTCCATCACACCCCTGACTTGAAGTCACTCAGCATAAACATATAATTCACATTTATACTAACCTTTTCCAGCTTTTCAAAATGTTCTCTGAGGAATTTCATGGGTCGTTCTGGCTTTGCTATGCAGAGATTCACAATGCACTCTTTCAAGATCTGCTGGATGTTGTGTTTCTGCACAAAAAGTTCACATCCTTTCAGACTCTCGTCTTCTTCAATATTTGAAGAGGAAGCCATCTTATCTTTGCAGCGGGGAAAGAAAATACCTCTGTTTCTAGTATCACTGAAGGCTCTGCCAAACAAACGAGTGGAGAAACAAAATCAGAGGGTCTGTAAATGGTGCGCATGCTTAAATTATAATAATGTTTTCATTGGTTGCTTCTCATTAAAAGTGCTTTCTTTTCTCGACACCCTCCTTAAAAGGAAACCTCGGTGAAAATGTTACAAATACTCGTTTGTGTTACAGAACATTACAAAGTATTCACCCGTTTAAATCATCACATCAATTCAAATTGAAATGTTTTGTTTCCCAGACAAAACACAGGCGTGTAAATACATTTACGTCTACAAATAACATCCTCATACATACCCAAGGAACTATTTGTGCAAGTATTAGGAATTTCTTTCGGGAAAAAAAAGGAAGATCTGGCTTTTCTGAGGAGGGGAGAGACGAGGTATGCCTGAGCAATACAGTAATCACAGTACTCCCGTGAGTTAAACAGTTGAGCTATCTTCTATCTATGCTCTACATCAACAAGCCATTTATTTGCTCTGTAACCTTGCTAACTTCCGATGTGTCAAGGGAACAGGGCATTACCGTCGCGGTGATGAAAATCGAAGCAAAATAAAAATAATCATCTATCATGAAAATAACGAAAACTTATTCGAGATGTCATGCGAAGGGAGGCTTTGGTTTTTATTAAATAATGCGAAGCGAGCACACGTATGCTGTGCAGGGCGACGGTTGCTGTTGTTGTTCTGTGTTATCTGTCATGATCGCAGAAGTAGCGAAGCATCACTCTTGTGATTTCCCACAGGCCAGCCGCAAAGCCCCTATTTCTGCTCTCCTCCGTCAGGCAAGGGGTGTCATGCTAGGCGCACCGCGAAAAAGGAGATGACCGCAGGAAAAAAAAAATGCATTTGTGAGCCGTGGACACCTTCAATCCTAAATTCTAGTCGATCGCCGCCTTACCGTTATTTCCCGGAGATAGTGCCTGCCAGTGTAATTGGCTGCTGTTGCTGCTGTTGCTGCTGCTGTGGTCTCAGGTCGCTGTGCGTCGGTTTCAGTGACGTCAATCAGGCTCGCTTATTTCCAGCGCAAAGCTGCTTTCTGAAGTCATGCATCTCCGGCGAGGGATTTGTGGCTTGGAGGGAGGTTTGCTGCGTTACCTGTTAGTGTAACGGCAATGCTTATTTTTTTAATAAATATATACGGTATATAGATATTTTCTTCCCTCCAAGAGACAGTGGTTCTTGTGTGTGATGCTTTTCCATGCACAGAACGGAGCCTCTCGGTAGGATATACTGTACCTGCCTAGCGTGGCGCCTCTGAGAAGTCACAGCTCCTTCCACAGCGGACAGGTGCTGAGCAAATCGTAGGCGTGTTGCGTTTTCTTTGACTGCAACGCATCTGTTATAACCCGTTCTCACAGTCCAAGTCACATGGCAAAGCTGAATGCCTGTGACCTTCAGGGAAAAAACGACAGTTTATTTGCATAAATCTTTCCCTTTGTGTCACGAAGATTCAGCTACCAGAAATTGTCCAACAAGTCCAAAATCGACATTGTTTTCAGCGGACATATTGTATACTGGATATCGGGATACTGTATTCTGAACCTATTTGTAAGATGAACTAACTCCAACATAGCTCAGTGACGCAACAAAACCTAAATCCACCAGTGTATTCCATAGCTGCTTCCTGATTTCACTGTGGGGTTTCCTATCCTGTCCAGCATGAAGCGAACTGCATGAGTTAGTTTGCAGTGAAAACTGTAACCATGAGATGCATGAGAGGGGTGGAATGATGGTTAGTAACTCCAGCATCGATACCCAGTGATATTTGCATATTATAAAACATAAAACTCAGAAAATGATCTTCTGTGTCCACGGACAAGAATGGCTTGTCTGTCAAGCAATGGCTTTGGTAAGGCATACACAGCAGGCCATGGTCTCAAGATCATAAACTACACACCTGCACCTAGTAAACTGTAAATACATAGGAAGTCTATTAAAAAGAAGTTGAGTTTTAAAACCATTCCTGCAATTAGCTGGCCACCAGTGCTGATATGTGTACAGCTTGAGCCTCTGTTTCTGCTCATTCAAATACCAAATTAGCTTATCAATAGATCTAAGATAATGTGGCTGTGGACGTACAGTATGTGAAGTCAGAAACCTGGTGTAAGCAGTTCTGGATGAGACTGGTTGTTTGTTTAGTCATTATCATGTAGAAAAAACAAACAAACCCTGCACTACGTGTACCAGTCAGTTTCCTAAATATTGTACACCTTGCTGTTGAAAATAGGATAATACCATCACCTGTTTTTGTACAGACCAACAATAAATACCAAACTGTCACTTCAATTCAATTCAAATACTTTATTCATCCCCAAGGGGCATTTTAAGAAATTCTTAAACTTCTTATTATATGATAGGCAATATAGAAAAAAAAAGACCTTCTTGTTCAATATATACTAGGGACTATACAACATTTTCATATAGATATACAACGAGGATGTGCATTGGGTTTCCATTAAAACTACAGTTTGAAAAATGCTGTGAGTCACATCCTTCTCTGTGTGCTTCATAACCCATGAAGTTGTCGTGTTGAGGCCTTGAGCCCAACACTGTGGAATCACCTGAGGAAGATGGATTCCATCCAGGATTCGGGGAGGAAGTCCGCCTCCGGGCCAGAATCCCTTCTATTCTTTCAAGATCCCTGGGAGGAAGAAAACAGTGGAAGTGCTCAAAATTGGAAAGACTCCTGCTTACCCAGCAAGAAGTCACACATGCACAGAGGCGTTCCGCAAACAATTCATCCCTTATTTCTTGCTCTCGTCATTTATTATTTTTAAGAAACCCTTTTGCAGTGCCTTGGTTGCACAAACGATTTTGGACATCTGTCCTGAAAATGAACATCCCGATCCAGGATCACTATCGCGAATCACGGGGTCACCCGGCAAAGCAAAGTATGTACAGTAGGCACCTGTTCACGCATTTTCAGTCACCGGTCGCAGTGAACTGGAGCCGAGCCCGGTGGATGTAGGGCAGAAACTGGGACACGAGCCTAGGTGAGACTCCAGTCATGTGCAGGCAAAGCACAAAACGCATTGCCGTTACGCGGTGCCTGACGTTTCATATCATATACTGATAGGCTGTCAGTATAATATAATTGTAATTCACATTAATTATGAGATAGAATGTTTCTCATACCCTTTAATGACACATTTTCTAAAATGATGGAACATGATTCACGAGTGTGAAAAGAAATGATATATGCAAACAACATTTTATTTTTATTTTGTGATGATCTGTTCTAAAAGTGAGAATAATCTGGAATTAAATCACTCTCATGTCGTCCCGAAACAGTGAAGCCACAACGACAGGCAGACCTGCTGCTGTGGGGGAAAAAAAGCAGTAAAAAGCTCTTAAAGTGACAGAATAAAAAAACATTCCGTCTCTTAAACAAATGCGTATTTTGGCTTGAGTGGCATCTTTGGTTGGATCCATCGCCACAGAGAGGGAAGGAATTTACGACTGCAGTGAATGGGGAAAGTAATAAAGTTTGCTCAATTGAATGTGCCGTAAACCGATCTGTGTTTGGCAGAACGCCTCTGGTTGCCATAACGACGGAGCAACGGCAGCAATGGCGGCCGGGGACGAGCGTGCTGCAGCTGAAGTAATGCAAACTATAGCCCGACACTTGAACTGCTTGAACGAAGCAAATAAACACACCAGAAAGAGAGCGCTGGAGTCGATTCGAGCAGAAACCTTCGACAAAAGGCTTTCCAGCGGTGTGCTCCAGGAAGTGTTTGACTGCCTGCTCAAGCCTCTCTTGAAGTGCCTGTCAGACCCCGCGGAGAGATGCAGGGAATGCGCTGTCAGCATGATCGGTGACTTCATTAAGTGTGTGCCCAAGCCGGAGGAGAGCTTACCCTATCTCATCCCCGCTGTCGCCCAGCGCCTGGGCGGCTGCGAGATTTTGGAGCCCTCGGAGGAGTTGCGGCTGTCCCTGCTGGAGGTGCTGACTCTGACTGTGGAGGTGTGCGGGAGACGGCTTGCTCCCTACCTCGACGACGTGGTGAGAATCCTTCAGAAAACCATCGTCGACCCTTTCCCAGAGGTGAAGAAGGAAAGCTGTAAATGCACAGTGAGCTTTGCCCGGGCTGTGCCAGGTAATGGCTTCGCGGAACGCCTGACGATGCCTTGTAATGAGCAAAATAAAAATGCTTTCCAGTGGCATATCTGATCACCCATCATCTTTATTTATGATTATTCAGCGGCAGAGATTGTGAGAGCCATACTGTAAATGTCTGTAGATTTTATGTTCATTGTATTTGTATTGCTTTGGCAACAGTGATTTATTTATTCATTGGCCATGTCACTAAAGCCTCTTGAATTGAGTCTGTGTTTCCATGGTTTCAGGCTGGGGAGCCCACAGCACTGGCTAACAGCTTGTGTCTGACTGATGCACAGCAACGGGAGAACCGTCTCGTAAATGTCTTGTTTGCCTCCAGGGTTTCAACGGCTTAAGAAGTGTTTTTTTTTTTAACTAAACCTAAAACCAGCCACAACAGTTTAACGCGCTAGACATTTAAACGCATATTCCAGTGTTGAAGATAATGACCCAGGAACGTGCTTTCACACGTGTTAGTTAAATCGCTTTCAAGTCACGTTTTCGCAGGGGTGTATTTTGTTACTACGGGGAAGGCAGTAATAAAGAAAACATATCAAATTCAGTACATTCAGGAAATAATTATCTACACTTGGATTTTGTGACAAATTATTATTATTATTATTATTATTATTATGGAGATTATAGGACCAAGGCAACGGGTTCACACACTTGAAGTGAACATTGCACTTAAAGTTCAAACTCCCGACTGTTAGGCGTGATGCCTGTTCTAGTTTCTATGTCTGTACCTTTCACTTAAATAGAACAATTTAAAAAATGCTTTGACATAGCATTCCCAAACTTAAGAGTACCAGTTTATACATGCATAATAGGTTTTAGAGAAAGGATCAGTTTTATCGATCCTAATACCATCTAATAAAGTGTATAATGTATTTTGAATGAATGCTTTTTTCCCAGGAATCTCCTTTTTGTAATTTGACTTTTTGCCAGCCATTTAGTAATCATTGAGCCGTTTGACCCATTGTTCTGCATTGGAGTTGATTGGAGTCTCAATTTAGGTACATTTGGATCAAAGTGCAAATTGCATTAAGTGAATTAAGTGAATATGCACTATTTTATAATGTACAATTTGGAAGCTTTGATAATATTTTCCAGATTAAATAAATCCCTAAATGTTTTACCTGGAATTTCACAGCGTCCATAAATATTTCAGTATTGCTGCTTCCCAAGTACGTCATAAATATTTATCTCTGACATGAGGTGAAAGTCTGTATGATCAACTAAAGGACATCACCACAGGACGTCCACAGGTTCTGCATGGTAACATGCTTCCACAGCTGACTACAGCTGCTGTAGTGCATTGTATGTGGGGGCAGTATGAAAAAGTCATGAGTATCTTTTTCTGTACTAAAGAAATCTGTTCTATTGTTTGTGATGCTTAAATTGACCTTTTTTTCCAGAACATTTTCACATGCAGTCTGAATCTCTTGTGAAGCCTTTAATGCAAACCATCTCACACCAGCACTCCAAGGTGCGAGTGGCTGTGATTGAAGCAACAGGCTCAGTGATCCAGTATGGAACAGGCAAGTCCATGGATGATGTGCTATCACACTTAGCCCAGCGACTGTTTGATAATGCACCACAGGTAAATCATCAAATAACATTTCTAATTCACGTATGGAGTGTGTTAAAATTGTGTTATTAGTGTCTTATTATTTCTTTTTTACTTCGAAAAATTATGACTTATTACTGTTTGGTTCATTCTGTTTCTACTCTAAGGCTCACATTCTTTATGTGTCTTTACTGTCTTTAGTACAAAATGACCTGGTATTAGAAAAGTAAATGCTTTAATACCCGATTGTCTTTTTCCTCTCCTTTAGGTCCGACAGGCTGTTACAAAAGTGGTGGGAAATTGGCTTTTGAATCTACGGGACAGATACTCATATTTTCACAAATTGATTCCACTCCTTCTGAGCAGCTTTAGTGATGAGATTCCTGAAATACGGTAAATTATATTTTTAAATGCATAAACTGTATGCTGCCCAAAGTAAGATTACAAGTGCAACTACAACCCTTCCAACCCGTCTTAGTGTCCAAAGAAAAACAGACCCAGATATTCACCTTTCATGATCTGTTAAATCAGAATATTACTGTCATCCTAACACTGCTGAGCAAAGGTCTTCAATAGATTTCTTTTAAATAATCCCCATAATGAAATACACTTGCTTTGCCTTCTGAGCACAGCTCAATTTGATTATTAAGAATATCGGTGTTCTACAGGAAGAAGACAAAGAGCAGTGGCTTCTCATTACGGAAGCCTTCATTGTTCTGCCTGTTTATCAGTTAGTTAGGTGGGCCTAATTGGTGTTGTCTACCCAGAATGAGATCTGATGTGGAGGCCAGTTACATTTTGTTTACTGTACGTCTTTGTGTTACCTTAAGGTTGATTCACCAGGATGTGGTAAAGTAACTATGCATTTGGTGAAAGACAGGAATGATTTACTAATGATATTTACAAGATATTCCAAAATTTCATCCAGCAGTCCTGTCAGACTACATTCCTTTAGGCTATAAATGCCTTCTAATAACTTTATTTTCCCCTATTTCCATTCTGTTTGTGCAGTTACTTGGTAAAACCTGTTTTCTTCATGTTTTTTCTTGCCCGGTAAAAAATAAGTGACCCCCATCTAAATAGAGGAAAGGGTTTGGATTCAGGACATTTGTATGTAACTAAAAGCCACAGAACTCTAGTGCTCCAGGACCAAGACTGGACAACCCTGCTGTAGGTTGTCCAGCTGTTTTAGGTCTACTGTTCAAGCTGTGACTTTCAACCAGAATTATCCTGATATTTACTTTCTTTCTGGGTCTGAAATACTGCTAACGTTCAAGGCTTTTGTTATTAAAAATGAAGGCTGATATATGGTTACATAGTGATTGATACAATTGTAAGGATATATAATTTAAATCATGTATATATAATACCAATATATCCCTTCATACGATGTTTCCCAGGCATCTAGCAGTTGATTATTGGAAGGAGACAGGTTCCCAGTGGCAAAAAGAGAATGAAGACGACTTGAAGGATAAGCTTGACTTTTTGACCTCAAACCCCTCTCTGTATCCAGCCGGAGGTAAGGGATCTCTGCCAGTATAAATGCTAGGAGTGTCACCTTTCTCTCTTTGATACATGTAAATGTAAGTTGTGGGTTTACTTTAAAAAGTAATGCAATTAGCGCACGTAAGATTTCTACATGATGAGTAGGATTTGTTATTCAGCTGTTCAGAAGTATATTAAGAAATATGTTGTAGATGTCATGCCCTTTGTGGACATGATTTATTACTAAATAACAGTGAGATCTTATCTTCCATACCTTCTTCCAGACTTCAGACTTGTTTGTCAGTGTGCTCCAAAGTGTTCCCTAGCAAATACTAGAGGGAAATTCTGAATGCATTTGTTCACCTTTATACCCTACATGCACCACAGAAGTGTAACCGTGCCATATTGTAATAGGGGTCTTATTCCTATGGCTCAGAAGTTACTTTTAATAAATTAAGGATGTGTAAATGTAAGTAAAACTAAAGTTTAGAAATAGATCCCTGACACTAGGTTTTCCAGCCAGCAGATTTGTAGAGGTTAAATAAAACATCCCGCTAGTAAGTAATTGTCAAGTGGTGGAACATTTTTCACAGGCACAGCATGGTTTCAGAGTTAAAGAACAGCCAATATTATACAAAAACTAATGGACAAATCATATAGATTATTATTTAGAATTAGAGCAAGTGCCTAGTCCCAGACATTTACAGAACTGATATACACTATAGCCACCTGCGTCTTTGAATAATAAACAGACCCCAGTAGCATCCGAAAGAGAATGATTCAGTCTGTTAAAGGTAAAGCTGTTCATACTAGTTCTTACCCAGTAGAAGGCCCTGCTCCAGATAAATCTTTTGCCTGAACTGGTGCTAAACCAGAGGGAATCTTTGTAATATTCATTTCCACAAATATGAGAATATTGACCCTTTTTCCAAATCTTGATTTGGTCTCTCGATTGCCTGATGGGCTTCTGTCTTTAAAGGCTAAGGCCCAAAGTGTCGGAGGTCTGGTTTGCAGAAGATGGTTTCCACTCACTCTGTGAAGTAGAGATGGAGGGGGTGGTCAGATCTATGATATACTGGAGCTGGCCTCTGGCCCTTCACCTTTTTTACACAAGCCTCTTTTACTCTGCCTATTTGTGCCTCCCAGTCAAAGAAGGGTTTAAGTCCAGTCTATGCATCCTACTACACAACGGTTTCACAGCTCTGCTTTGTCTGTATCGGACTGAGTGGTGATTAGAATGCTCAGCAACAATGCAAAACTCCAGTCTAGCTATCATTAATGCCTGGTACAAATGACGACATTTTCGTGAGTAGTTTCTAAACTGAAAATGATCCACAAGTTTAGTTTAAGAGGTCGGTGTTAAAAAAAAAATCAATTTTGATTGACCTGAAATGTGTTTTCTGAACTGACCACTTATAATGTATTTTTTGTCCTTTCATCTATTCTGAGAGGTTAGATTACTGACCTCTAGTATTAATCTACGTGAAGTAGTAGAATTAACTGAAGTAAAAAGATAAAATGATTTGGATTGTATATATTAAAAGGTTTAACTTAATAGTATAGCAAAAGAGCTATATTTGCAGCTGCACCATAATGTTTTTATGCTTTGAGAAGACAAAGCATGCAAAATTTGGACTTTAGGATTTGATGCTATATTGAAGTCATTGACACTACTGAAAATGATTTTCTACTTTTGTTATGTAAAAAGACATGGTTGGCATCCTTGATATGGCATTGTTTTATATATTACCTACCCGGATACCTGGATCAAACCTCAAACGTTATTTACACTGGGTATTTGAAAGTAAACCTTATATGGAGGGTTTTACCTCAGTAGTGTTTTTTTCTTCGTGCTTGTAATACTGCGAGTTGGTTATATTTTGTGCCTGAAGGTGAAATTGAAACAACCTTCCCCCTCCTTGTGTATAACACTGCACCTAAATTGTCATTGATTAATAGTCCTTACATGACCGCATTGCTTAAACATTGTTATTATAATGGCGAGGTAAGATTAATAGCTTATAGGACACTCTTTGTGCTGACTGCAGGTCAAAGTTAAACTCTGCTGATGTGCATAATTACACCAAGTCTCAGCAGTTTTCTGATTTGTGTGTTTCCGGCTATGACACATTTAAGCACCCTAATGTGCTGCTGTCAGAAGTGCTGAGGGAGTGCAGCACCTGCTGGTGCTTCCTAACCTGTTGCCACAACCTATTAATAACATTGTCAGGCTTAATGAGCAGGAAAAAACTGTGCAGAAAACCCAGACTCTTACTTTTTCACCCTAGTAAATGTCCCGGTGGTTGGTTTTCGACCATGCTGAGGTTTGAGACGTAATGGAAAATCATTTTTAAGTCCCCTGACTGGAGGTTGGCAATTGTCAATGGGTTTTTTGGCCAGCTGCTGCAACCCCCTGTGTAGCACAGGACGAAGGACCAGTTCCTGACAGGTGCAGCTCTGCACCGCAAGGCTTGTGTGAGCATGGGAGAGAGAATGCAGCATAACCATTACACAAACCACATCCAGCCTTTTCCTTGGCATGATGCATGTCCAAAGCGCAAAAAGGAGAGCTGAGGTGTCGAACAGAGGATTGTTCACCTTTCATCTGTAGTTCTACTGTCCAGCAAACTACAGGCATTTTGCATGACAAACCAAGGGGACTGGTCAGCTTTACATGTAATCTGAACTGGACAGTAGTATGCTGCTTTAGAAGTCCAATTTCAAACTAGAGATATGTGGTTACCAGCTGAAGTCTTTTACCGTCAGAGGTCCTGTGGGGAAACCATACATCTAAATTCTCTGTCAGGGGATCTTGGAGGATTTGTTGTGGCATGACTGGTGCAAATTGTCTGTTTGCATTTCTCCTGACCTTTGATTTTTTTTTTTTGCTTCATTCCTTTGTGTCGGTTCTGTTAAACCATAATGTCACTTGGCAAAGAGAAATGAGGAAGGTTGGTGTAATAAATTAAAATCATTATGTTTAAAAGTCTTTTTGTCCACGATTTAGGAACTACCCAGAATTGTTTCTTGATTTACTGATTTTCTCTGTGCCTTTTGTTACCATGGAATTTGTCTCTTCTTTCGCTTAACACTTTGTAGTGGGGAAACACCAACAAGGTAGTCTGTGCTTAAGTTTTCCTTTTTTGTGTTTTTTTTTGTATGCTTTTGTTCACTACAGTTTGCAGACTCGGACCTCATAAAGCAGCAGGAAAATAGCTTCTGCTGAGTTGATTGAAACATTAACTGACAGAATAAGAATCAGAGGCTGCCCATTCTGTTTTGCATTACCATGTCCAGTGTAGTTGTTTGATGAAGTTATTATTAAAGTAAGAGTCAAATGTTTTTAGCAAAGAATTTGCTAAAAGTTCAGAAATCTTACTAAATGTTCAGAGGGATTTTGTTGCACGAGTGTACTAGCTGAGGAGTGAGTGGATAGTTAAAATGTTTAGTCGGTTCTATAAAGGCCTTTTGTGTCTTTCTTTTATTTGAAAAAGAAAAAACCAACAACGGAAACTTTTTTTTTTGTTTTGTTTTCGCTGACCAGTGGAACGGCCAGGTCTGGGCTGTCGAGAGCTGATTTTTAGGAATTTGTCGAAAATCCTGCCGGCGCTCAGCAGGGACGTGACCGACTGGGTGGTGGGGACCAGGGTCAAGTCTGCCCAGCTCCTGGCCGTCCTGCTCCTGCATGCTGAGGACCACATCACACAGCACATGGAGCTCATTCTCTGCACTTTGTACAGGGCCTGTGCTGATGAGGAGAAGGAAGTTGTGAAGAATGTAAGTCAAATCTGCAAGTCTTCTACAGGATCAGTGTTACTTCTGAAAGAATATACTGTATCTGTTGAAATATCCCTCGGATGTCAGAAATTGTCTTGTTCAATAAATGGCCCTGCCAAGAGCAGACTCACTGGATAATGTCGAAATTTTGAAGCCATACAGTAATTTATTCCTATTTGTGTCTTAGCATGCCTGTTAGTATTCACTACCTCTTTAATTAAGGAAAAAGTCTGATTATTTGCAGCCAGATGTGAGATTCTTTCAATCGTTCTTATATATTTCAACATAGACTCGCTGAACTAAAATCTGACTATAAGGAAGTAAAGCACTAAAAGCCAAAAATGTATTATTCAATTGGAAAAATAACCAATTTTCTTCATCCTTCTCTAGCACTGACAATTTTCTAAACACTCCGTGCCTGACTTCAGTTGATTCGTCTTTGCAGTGTTTGGAGGCAGCAAACTTAATTGGGACATTTGTCGATCCTGAGGTCTTCCTGAAGCTGATACTGAGCCATCTGAAGAGATCGTCCTCCCCAGCTCATCTCATGGTCCTGAGTGCAGTGATTAGAGGATGTTCAGGACCAGCACTGAAGCCACACCTTCACAAGATTGTTGACGCCTTGTGTCACCCTGACATCAGCCAAGATTCTGAAAAGGTGAAGCCAAAAATAATTCATGTCTTACTCTTTTCTCTCATGGGCAGCAAGTTGTTGACTCAGAATATGACATGACGGGGACTACACGCTAAACATACATGTGTTGCAAACTGAATCCTGAGATCAAGGTGTTTCCTAGGTAATCCTTTATGAATTGTCCTCCCCACTTATAATTTCCAATAATCTGGAATTTCTTCAAGACAAAAATGCGCTAAAATAAAAATGGTTAATTTCTCTTAAACTAGTCACGAAAACATCTTAGCTTCATTCCAGAGACTTGGTTGTGTTCAGCTTTTTTACCACTACTACCTTATTCCTACAGGGGTGCCAAACATATCAAAGAAAGATGACTGCGTGTGATAAGAAATAACAAAGCAGGAATCCAGAAAGGAAATTTAATTTCTAACTTCAGCAACCATAATTGGTGCAGGTCACACATTAGATCCAGATGGAGCCAGACCTATTGCCATGGGGAGCAGGACATTTCAAAGCCCAATTACAGAGGCATTTCCACACCTGTGTGATCAAAACACAGCTTAGCAAAACACAGCCCTTAATGGCTGGCAGCAGCAGAGAGAAATTATTAAACTCACACTCAAGAGGAAAACGTGCCTTTATTTATACTGAATAAAAAATATATATTTCAGTATAGCCAAAATTACAGACTTACACTGGGTTTACACAGAATACCTATAACAGTAACCTCAAATATTTATGATCTTGGGTTGCAGCTTGATTAGTCAGTGAGGTCTCCCAATCATGTTTCCAAATTTGTTTTATTCCTATAATGTGAAATTCTTGGGGAAGAAATCAGGCACATGAACATGCTTCTCAGATACTCCTACAGGGATATGTAGTGCTGTTTGTTTGGAGCTCCAGAGCTCCAAATGGATAAATAGCATCGAACTGTAAAACTGCAGGCATCTACAGCACGTAACAGGAGTAGTTGTTTGCCAGGAGAGTTGAGAGAGCTCTGTCCTGCTAATCTCGACCTTTCCCTCAGCGGCACTCTGACAAATGTGTGTGCTGCTTCTTGGGCATACACGGTCCCTGTCAGCTGGTGACACGACCCTGGCTCTGAGCGAGCACCATTACTGGTTGGGACATTCAGGGGCCCTCCAAACTACCGGGTTGAATCTGCACTGTCATGGCCTTCTATCATTGTTTCTAGATGAGATTCTCCAAGCAACAACTTTCAGTCATCGTAGCTCTTCAGGAGTAGCATTTTCTTGAATTAGTAGGGCAGTCTTTGAGTTGAAACTTAGCAGCAGTGCAGAGGTATTTTCAATTGTGAGAATGAATTTTAAATACACAGTAACACATTTTGAATTTTCGTAACGGCTTAGCTGTGTGGTTCTGTGGTGTCTTAACACTCTTTCCATTTATCACTAATAACTCTGTCAGTTTTGAATTTGGAATTTCATCACAGGTCTTCAAACTCTTCATCTTCCATTGGTTCTAAAACTGCTGACAAAAGGAACTTTGCTTCAGTCATCTTTGGTGAAGTCCTGTCACATTCCAATTAATGTCATTAGTATATTGACATTAATATATATTAGTATCATTGTTATAAAAAGTATAATACTATATTAAGTAGGTTCTGTTCTAAAAAGATAATTCTATGGTGATGCAAAACCTTTGGCCTAGTGCTGTGTAAGTAAGCAACAGAAGGAGATAAACAGTACATATTGGAAACTATGGAAATAGAGTGCAGAAGGGTGAAACAACAGATCTAAGAATACCAAAACAATATATAAAGCTCCATTTGTGCAAGTGACTTCAACTTGACTTCAAAGAGCTCTTTCTTCTCTTCTCTTCTCTAAATAACTGATGTGTGCTATCGGGTACTTTAATATTGTTAATCTGACTGTCAGCACAGTCTGCAAAATTGCATTTTTGAATATTGTCCTGTAGGCAAATAACTTTGAGCTATTAAACATTTGAGAGTTTGCAAACCTGTACAAATGAGGTATGATTTGGAAGAAAAATGTTTCTTTGAACACAGTGTAAAGTAAATCTTCAAAGAAACTAAGAAACCACATCAGATCTGCTGTGCATTCCAGACCTCCTAGAGGAAGTGGAAACTGATACAGTAGGTTTGCACAGTAAACATATTTAACCAATAAGTACATTTTTCCCTACAACTGATCTTTGTAAAATGTCATAAATGCTGACAGTTGTATGAAGGTAACTTCAAGGGCAGCAGATTTGTCATCTTTTCCCTTTGTCTAATCGTTGTATTCTTTTCTTTGTAAGTGGAATTACCCACCTAATGTCACCAACAGATTCACTGCAAACTGCACTGTCAGCCATAAATCACAGTTGTTTAGTTTTTCTAACTGCTAGGTACATGTTACCACAGAAGTACTAGTATTTTATGTTTCTAGAATATAGGGATGCCTCAACAACACCTCAGATGTAAATACAGTACTACACTCAAAGCAAATATTTTTTCAGGGGATAAATTCTTTTTTCAGCAGAATAACATACTTTCTTCGGCTTCTTTCTCAGTGTTGAACTGAAGTGTTACTCTCATGTGCTCTTGACGTAATGCCTATCTCTGATACATAACGGATGACAAGTGTCAATGATGGAATTTAGTGTAGTGGGTAGATGTATAGTGGATACATTGATGTCAAGTTCGGGGCAGCAAATGTATGTGGGAGTCTCTGTAATATCAGCTTCCCTTTACATGTTGTTAATTAATATATCTGTTATCTGGGGCTTCTGTTGTTCAGATCATTCTGTCTCCAGAACTTAGTTCACACCTGCATAAACACTTAGATGGAAGGGCCTTAATTGGGGTTTCTTAATACATATTTGTGAATGTTATGCATTTATGTCTGCAAAGACTTTAAAAAACTCCTGAAGGCTTTCTGTAGTGACTAATTGTTTGACACTGCTTTAGTCACAAGGGACCACAGCAAAGGAACGGCCAGGGAAAACCCCAGTTCCAGACAGGAGTTCCTCTCGAATGCTCTGTCACGGTACAAACTCTAATGCTTTCCCTGCCGCCACCCCCGCAGTGTGTCAATTGAAAGGTTTTAAGATGCATTTATCTAGATAGACCGTGAAACAGCAAGCTCTTCTGTTCGTGTAAACCGTTCCAAATACGAGGTTTGTGCTGTGGAAAATGTTGTCTCGACCTGAACAGTTGTTTTTGATTTCTTATGTGCTCTGTCCTGTGCACCGTAAAGTGAGATGTTGCTCCTCCTAGTGTGCTGAGCAAGAATCAGAATCGCTTGTGCAGAAGGGCCTTTCCCTTCGCTTACCCGAGCCTCCCAGTTCTGAGGGAAGTCATTTCCCAGGTTTCCTGAGCCAAATCTTACACCTGGTGGCTTAGCTTGAGTGAAATCAGACACCTTCCTTTGAAATTTCTCTCTCTAATGACAGGCCGGTGGAAAACAGGAAAATGATCCGATGATAAAACAGATCAAGGCTTTTGTTTAAACAAGTTCAGCTTAAGTTTGAAGGAAGGAGGAAAATCTTTATACCTTGAAAGGATCTTTCTCTTTTTTTAATGCTTTGGTAAAGATTCAATATTTTTTTAATTCATAACGGGGACTTTTTTAAAAATAGGAAAACAAGGGTTTAACACGGGAGGACAGAATAAGAGATAAAGATACCAGTGATGTGCAGCCTCCAGAACAGAAATGGCCAGTTGAGGCAGGGGGAAAGATATTCCTCGGATACTGGCCAGTGAGTCTTTTTTTGTAAAATAAATGTAAAAGAAATATGTCTGTGATTCTAAGAGGCACACTTTGGCCCTGGGTTCAATTCTGGAACTCGGGTGCTCTCCGTGTGGAGTTTGTATGTTCCTCCTGTGTTTGTGTGGGTCTTCACTGGTTGCCCTGGTTTCCTCCCACAGTCCAAATACTGGTGGTTAAATGGCTTCTGGGAAAATTGGCCCTGGTGTGAATGTGTGTCTGTGTCTGTGTGTGTACCCCGCTATGGACTGATGTCCCACCCAAGGGACATCATCTCGTGCTCATTGCTTGCTGGGATAGACTGTGGCTTCCCTGTGATCCCTAATTTGGTGAAGCAGTTGGGAAATGGACGGATGACTGATTCACTGATTCTGTACAACGCTGGCTTAACAATTTAATCATATATATATGTGTTATTTTGCAGTTCTGTGTTAGTGGAAGAAAATAGGAATTCCTTGAACACTGTTTTCAGTAGAGAATGTTGATGTTTCTTCTACTAGGAGAAATCCATCCTGTATTTTGGGAGAGAAACTGATCATACATTTTTATGAATTATGAGTTGTGTTTTTTAAATAAGGCATTGTGGAACTGGTGAAGCTGGAATTGTTTTTAATTACAGTATATGTTCTTAGTCTGGCTTTTTTCTTTCAGAAATTACGTTGCCAGAATGTTGTATATTATAAATGACACTCCTGGAGGTTACTGTAGACATTGGTTACATATCCAGTACTGTAACTAAAGATTTATTGTGTGCTATTGTTTTTTTTACTAAGTGCACTTCAGTCTTCAATCTGGGTTTTTAATGGTTCTAGTCCTAGAGCTAAGATTTTAATTGTTGTGTTCTTCATATACAGCATTGTTGGAAATGCTGAAATCTTAGGTCAAAGGTTTAATAAAACTGAAGGAAAATAAGACATAAAAATATTGCTACATAATTCAAAGGTTAAAAGTCTGGATGGTGCAGTAAATAAACAAAACCAATTTAGTGACAACTGCTACTGTAGTAGCTGTTGTCATTAAATTGCAATCATGCAAATAAAAAGATTTGCCTTCAATATATATGCAGTGTTTTTTTTTTCCAGCTGTGCATGTTTGTCTGATTTAGCAAGCACTGAAAAGTTTTATTTTTAATATATTGTGAAACTGTTTTTTTTTCTGCACAAACCATAGCAACACATGGTTAAAAAAGAATACCTGCCTTTCTAACCCTTCTGTCTCTTCCCTGCCTGCAGCTGGAGTACTTGGAGCAGTTGCTGAGTTGCGTGCAGGCATTGCTTGCGCAGTCTGGACACGACTGCGGAGACATCAGTCTCCAGCTGCTGAAAGTTTTAGTGACCATTCAGTCTCTGTCCTCAGATCAACCACTTCATGACAAGGTAATTCTACCCACAGGGGTTTCCAACAGCTGAAGCGATCTGTGATCTGAAGCTGTGAGCCATGTAAGCCAGCTCTCTTAAAAAAGGCATTCCTTATCCTTTAGCAAGTCACAGATCTTTACTGTGGGCATCTAATTGATAGTTTTCATTCTGTCTTACAAGTGGTTTTTGGCCTGGCAAAGTTTTTTTTTTACTTTGGTGCTGGTCGCTGGAAAGTAATTTCAAGAGTGTTCCTCTGGTTTAAAGGAAACACTATTTTCCACTTGCACTGTGTTAGATTGTACAGTGTAGTCATTTAAAAACAGGGGAAAGGAGCAATAAAAAAGGTGAAATGTTTGCTTAGCTTCATCAGCATTGTCCCAGGCAGAACAATTTATGGTGCTAAGAAAGTAGAAAATATTCATTTCGTGGTCACAATTTCCAGATCAAAGCTTTTGTCCAAGCACTGTTGTCCTTGGTAACCTTGTATTTGTATGGTCTCCTTTCCATACAAATATAAAATGGCTTGAGAATAAAATAGTAAAGTGTGCAGTTTTAATGACAACTGTTTCAGCTCTTTGTTTATCCTATGGGTTTCATATTAAGCCAGCATTGAGTGGAAGAATTAAAAAAAAAAAGTTGTTTAGTCTCCTTGGATACAAATGTTTTCAATTCAATATTCTGTCCTCCCGTACAAGAAATATACCAAATAGTGTCTGGCTAAGCTAGGCTAGTAGCTGACAACTTTTTTTTATTTTCTGCAATCAGCAAACCCTTGTTCTTGTTTTAACAGCAGAATTTATTTTTCTTTAGTTCTCAGTTATTTACTTCCTGCCTAAGAATCCTTCGTGGTTTGCTTTTGCCTATTGATTGGCAATATTGGCATGTATTTATAATGAACAGATTAAAGCACGTTTTGTTGTGACATTTCCTGGGGTGACCCATTCAAGTTGCCCGATTGGATTGGTTTTATACATGACAATCATGCAATCTTCATTTAACTATATAAATTATACTGTTCTTGAAATATACCTTCTACTTGGAGAGTAGTGAAATGTAGACCGTTAATGTGTACTACAACAAATGCAGTTACATCACATTTCAATCAATTACTATGCTAAATAGCTTGATAAAAGTGTGCATATGATTATTGTATATCACACATATACTGTACATTTATAAAGAAATAGTGCTTCAGATTTGATGTTCACAATTTGATGAAATCTGCTTTGTTTCATTTGTACATAATTTGTAAATGTGAATACTGTGATGTGTTAGTGGGTGGACTATCATCACTGCATCATGAAGAATAGAACCACATCAGCTCCCACAAGATTCTGTTCTGTACATTCTTGTAGAGGCAAGCTATCAAAGTCTTTTCACAGTCCGTGTCCAATATACCATTGAAGGCATCATCAGATATTAGTGTTCTTGCATAATTGAAGTAACCTTATGATGTCTCTTTGAGTTAACAGGCATTAAGTGCAATGATACTCCAGCAGCTTGTATTTTACGTACCCTTTCTTTCTGTTGTGAATACTTATACAGGCTCCTTCTTAACCTTCTTAATCATTTCTAGTGTGCTCTGTACTTATATGAGCAGGACAATGCCTGCATCTTTATATAATTTACAGTCACCTCTTTTTGGGACCTCAAAGTTCTAAGTAAGCTTCCAGCTGTCCCAGTAGTCACACACACAAACACAGCCGGTTCTGGGGTGGAGCACTTCTGAGAACAAAGCATACGTCGGTCTCATCCCTGGCACCGATTGAAGGAGTTGACTTGAGAGAAGCCAGATTTTGTTACCTGTTTTTGGATTTTAGCCATGACATTGTGGTCTTCCTGTGTGCCTGTGTGGGACTGGTTTAATTAATTTGATATTTCTAAATTTGAAAATGTACAGAAATGTGCTCGTTTTTACCCTGTCTAAAGGTGCCGCCATTTTTGCCTTTCCTAGTTTTTATGTTTACCAAATATTTCCAACGTGTTTGTAAGCTTAATGCAGTTACTCAGCGTCTTACATTTTTGTATTTTTGGCAGCAGTGAAAATTTTCTTAAAAGGAGATTATAGATTCTGCTATTTTAAAGTTTTTCCCTCCTTGGTTATTTTAAATGAGAAGCTATTTCAGGCGACACAGCAGTACTACGATGACCTTAAAGAATGTGAGACATAATGATGTGGTATAAATATAGATAATAGCAATATAAGCTTTCCGCATCTGTCTAGATATCCCAGCCTGTGGTTATGGGAGCAGCAAGCCTTTGTGTTCTGTTGGCATAAACATTTTTTAAAAACATTTATTTAACTTTTTGTATTTGTAAAGTAGAGAACGTAACATTTAATAATTTAAAGGGAAGTTCTGTCTCTCTACCAAATAGCTGTATTTTTCCCATTGAAGCATTCAGCCATGGTATGCGTATATGTAAAAACGACTAATTCTTCCCCAGTAAAGACTATCCCTTTACTGTGAGGGACTGTGTTGCGTAATTTATTATGCTTATTTAAAGCCCTATCATTTAATACTGCAGAATGATTAGAAAACTGTGAAGTGAATTTACGGTTCAGTGAGCTTCAGTCACAGCCCGCTTCAATAGTAATGGACAGACAATCCATAACGTGACAAAGTCCTAGCCTTGGAAATATACAGGCCTTATTAAAGTGTTTGCCTAATGTGTCGGTTTCTGTAAGTGAGAATGATTGTCCTTTATTAGAGTGGTTACAAATTAGTCTGCTTTTATCCCTTATTGTTAATACTATTTACGTATAGTTGTCTTCTAAAATGACTTGTCAGTACAGAATGAGAGAAAATGGGGAACATTTATAATAACACCACAGTGCTTTACCAATTCAAGCAAACAGATGTGAAGGAGAAATGTCCTTACTTTTTGGTGGGTGCCTGCAGATGCTGCCAAATCACTGCAGGCCTCGAGCCAGGTGACAGAAATATGTCAGGGTTACTGCAAAGGATGACCGAGGGAGGTAGATGAATCACAGGGCAGTAGGCACGGCAAAACTGTGAAAATTGTAACTCTTGAAACTTACCAATACATTTTTTTTCATTGTGATATGTCTTTGTCTCATGAAATGACACTCTTCACACTTGCTGTTATGATGTTGTCGTAATGATTTCAACCTTTGTGTTCTGCCCCTGGGCCTTTTCCTCAACAGGTGCAAGAGATGATGACTCTCCTGTATACACAACAGGGCCTGAGCAGTCGGACAGAGCTTTACCGGCAGCACATCGGAGAGCTGATTGAGTGGTTAGCAGCCAGCCAAAACAGCTGGACAAGTTACTCTCTGGAGAGACTGCAGTTTGAAGTCATTGTCATTCAGTCAGGTGAGGATGGTAAACTCCCTTATACCAGCACTGCCAAAAATGTTAACCTTGGCAGCTTGGTAAAGTAAAATATTAATTGAAAGCCCCTTCCTGTGCAAGGTGTTAAAATTCTCTTACTATTCATAGATGACCTTGCCTGATTGAAAGTCATTGGTAATCCATGGAGACGTATGACTGAACTGAGAGTGAAAATGCTTATTAATTTATTATGTTAAGGAAATAGGAAAAAGCTGTTTTTTACCTTAAATTTGCATCCTGAAAAAATAATATTGGAGTTTAATCATCCAGATTCCTCACGGATTTCTTTTATGCCACTTGTTCTGGGTTGTGCAGGTTGTACATTTTACTGAAAGCTTTGGCGTATTCCCAAAACGTGTTCAGTTCTTTGAGCACTAAGGACAAAGTCTAAGAACTAAGAATAAAAGCCCATCCTCCCACAAAGCCCAATACTTACATTTTAATTCTGAACTACTAGATTGAACTCTGCTAGTAACACTCTGGCAATATTCACACCTAGCCATAAAGGTTAAACACACAATCTTAAGCATGTTTTAAATTTGACAGGTTTTCTGTGTGCTAGTACTAGAAAGTAATAGGACTAGCTTCACTTTATTCAGATTACAGTATACTTTTTAGGTGAGACGAAAATAGTGCTGTGTGAAAATACATCACTGGTGTCAGCACAGGATACAGAGAGCAGTAATGAAAGGTCAATAATCGTTGTTAGTTTATGTAGTAAGTAACCTCCCTTGAGGTTCTAGGTTGATTAGGTACCAAAAGCAAATAAGTTACATTTGGTGATTATACAGAGATGGGAGGAATATACAGCAGCAACACAGTTAAGACAATACAAAATGATCTGATGGCAAGTCATATTTGAATAACGTAAACTTCTCCATGCAGATAAAAGGCATGAGGTAATATACTACAGCTGGGATGCAGTTAGTTTTAAAATCTCATGTATGAGATTCACCACTGATAACAGTTAGGTAATGATGCACAGAAACAACAAAAAAGACCTGGATGAATTAAAAAGAACAAGAGCAGCAGGTCAACTGGGAGTATGTTGAAACTGTGCGCTTGTTAGACCTCAACTGTAATACTGTATGCACTGTTGGCCTCCACATACCAAAAAGGATGTAAAAGCCTAAGAGGAGAAAGTATTAATTTGCAGAAGCTATGCAGTCTTCTAAGATAGGATTTAGAAATTTCCGGTACAGCAGTATGTTTATTTTTGTCCTCAAAAATTACATTGAATTCTTGTGTGCACAGCTCATGTTTTTATGGACAGGGAGGCTAGCCATTCAAAAAGACTTACTTTTCAATTAAAAATTAAAGTCAGGACTTGCTCCACAATCTTTAAGAATGAATGTGTTTTTAAAACTGTTTATGGCAGCCTGTTGCATCAACCTAAACTTTTTCATATTCTCACTCCTGGAAAAAATCACTTTCACCTGTATAGGAAAGATGGAACAGGACAGACTGAGCACTGAATTGTTTTTAGCAGACTGTGAAATTGACCACTCTTGCATTTCTTCTACCGAAAAGCTGAATTTATTCTACTGCATTAATCTGTAACTGAACTGGGAACACAATAACCTGAATTAGGTATAATCCTGTAATTTACCATTCTTGTCCTCCTAGTGCTCCAATAGTGTTATAAAGGTCAGTTGTAAAAAGGATTTGAGTTGACTTTGACTGTCGCTCAAGAACTTTTGAAGTTTAAAGTAAGATTCTCTCATTAAGCACTTTCCCTCCTAGTCCTTAAAAATTAATAGATTTGCTATCATGAACCTTTTTCTTTGACCTGTTTTATACCCATTTTATTGTTTATTTAATTTACAAGGTTTAAATAATGGCAAAAAATACGCCAGTTTTACCCTTTTCTAAAATGTTTTTGTTTCTTGAAACCGTATATCAATATTGATTGCGCTGAAATGTATTTGGGTAATTATTTATCCTAAATGTAAAATGAGAAAATGTACTTATTTATATGAAAACAAATTATTACTGTTTAATTAACAGAAATGAGTATTTGTTTCACAATCTGTATCTGCCAGGTTATTGCTGGCAGAACATTATTGTTGACAGTTTAATAGGAATTCAAGATTTTTCAGGTTCACATATTTGGCCTTCTCTTGATTGCTAAAGTCTGGTTACCATATTTACACTACGGACAAGTGGCCTCTTTTGCAAAGTAGTTTTGTCTACTGGCCATTATAGCCAAATGGTAAGGGCTTATTACTGGCCATGTAGTAATAGCTTCAAGGAAGCATACAAGTAAATACAAAGTGGGGGAAAAAAAGCAATTCTAGCCCAACAAATTCGGAAAACTCAACTTAATCAGGTTGGTTAGAAATGCCACTGACACTGTCGGATCTGGACCCTTGAACTGGGTGAATGTTTTCTGTAGTCAGTAACCCCCCAGGTTTCTTAGTTACTGATTTACAATGCAGCAGAAAGAGGCTGTGTGGCTACATCCTCATGTGGGTCACTTGGTCAGCTAGAGAGCCCTGGGCCGCAGAGCAGGAACCGAGGTCTGGAGTGCGAGCCCTTTTCTCCAGCTGAACTGAGCGCTTTGGTCTGAAGCGCAGCCATGTTAAGTATAAAAGCATTAGAATGTCCACTGACCAGTACGTGAAGACGATCATTTTAGAGTTTTCAGTGAGCAACTGGGTCAGCAACAGGTTAATTCCATGCTGGAAAGAAGAAACACAGTCTTGTGGCTGTTGAGCCTCTTTCACCACCTGAAGAAGACTCAGCAGCCACGGTATTGATGATAAGCTATTTTTCCTCATACTTCTCTCTATTATTTTAGCTGCATCTAAATAATTCTTCTGTTTTTTTGGGGGGGTGGGTCATTCTAACACAATATTTGGATGTATTACTTGCAACATTCACTTGATGACCTAGATGACAGGACCTAACATGAAAATTAAAATTATTGCATGACGTTGTTGGATTAAAGCATACATCGCAGCCATTCAACAGATGAATATTTTACGTTTGCTAGATAAAGTAGAAACCACTTGCAGTAGGTTCCCAGCTAACTTTAATAATGTGACTGTTTTATTGGGAAGGTAACCACATAACTGTCAAGCTAACAATACTTGACATTGATACATTTACTTGTTCTAAGCATGAGTCAACCACACATGGAGCAGAGAATTCCTCGGCTGTGGTGGGGGTCATACTGAACTGAGCTCCTGCCAACAGGCAAAGCTCTACAGCGATGAATTAACAGCTGTCATCAGGGAATGACCAGAGCTATTTTTGTTGTCCACATAAATCACAGAAGAAGATACATCCATCCTTCCATATTCTAAACGCCTCACCCCATTCAGGGTGACAGGGGGAGCCTATGCTGGCAAGGCATAAGAAGATCTATGCTATATAAAGTTTTTTACAAATGTGCAGTACCATAAAATGGAATGCAAGATATAGAACAAAATACAACACAAAGAACAAAATGAAGCAAAGCACCATAACTAACCGAACCGAAATTATTTAAAACTGGAAATTTTCTTTGAAACACTGTACTTGCGATCGTGCTTGTGAAAGCATAACCGTTACCATTGATGCAACACAGCCACTCCATGTTTTATATTCTGCGCATCAAAAGAAATGCATCAGATATGACTCTAGTTATGCATGTCTTTTAGAAAAATAAGGTATACTCGCAAAGTCCTTGACTGGGCGCAGGCAATGAGATGATCAGACCTTCTGAATGCCAAGCCTGGTGTAAATCAAGAAAGAAAAAATGCAGAAAGGAACCCATATGCCCCACTAATTAAGGAAATAATGTGTTTGTACCATTGGTATGTTGGTGACTGGGCTTAGTCACCTCAGGTGCCCATGCCGGCACAAGAACCAAGCCCTCTTTAGCAGTGAATTAAGGTTTCATGTAGACCACCCATATGCGTGTCAGCAAGTGAGGTGCAGACTTGTTGGGCAATCGCCGATTGTTATGTATTGACCAGACCAATTGATGTGGAGGTACAAGTGTGAAGATCTGGGTTGCAGTGTGTGGTCAGCATCTTCCTTTGACTGCACTACAAAGATCAATCCCTAGGACCTCATTCGCTGCCCCTTCCGCAGGCTCATCGGGTGATAACAAGGGTTTTTCTTAGGAGATGAGAATGTGTAATGAGCTGCGTATGCCCTGCTCATCAGACTTGAGCCTCCTCCACGCGTGACATGTGACAAATACGACACAGAGGCCAGTGAATAGGTATGTGCTTGTACAGGCTGTAGGAGAGTAATGTGACAGGATCCAACCAGACAGAATCTGCAACCTGGTGCAAAGCATGTGTTCCAGATACAGTGACTATCAAGAGCATGCACTTCACTTTGACTTTGTCACATTTTATCGCTTTATAAACCTATAATGTCAAAGTGAACACAAGAGACTTGAGCCCAAGCAACACCTCCACCTCTTTCAAGCAGGCATTTATTGAATGTAGCAATCCAGCTGGTTCGGTGCGAACAACTACAGTACCACAGAATCCTGATAGATCTGGAACAAAAGAATTGGTTTGTAGACGCTAAAAAGTTATCCGCCAGTTGTCAAGTTTGCAACGAGGAAGACTTCAGAATATTTTGTTGTGTTGCTCTGATTGTATCACTAGGGTTGATTTACAGCTGTTTTGCATTATCTTTGTAGCATTAAGGTAGGTAGGAATTTCGTGCTTTGGAAAGCACTCTTATTAAAGCAAGCACGAGATATGCCATGCCATTCTGAAGTTACTGACAGCTGGAAGGTTTAGTTTACAAAAATGGGCATTTCAAAGGAATTCTTCATCTGAACGGTTTTCATTACCTCAACAAATTGTTTGAAATCCCGTTTTGGGGAAATGACATACTTCCTGTTGCCTGAGAGGTGGCTGTGCTCTTCTGTTCCTCCAGTCCTTCTGTCTTATCTTTTCTACAGGCCTTTGGAATGTCTGAGCAAATACTTGGCTCTTGCCCCCAGTACACTGTGCCCAGCTGTCTGTGTTTTC